CCAAGTGAACTGTGATTTTCCTGCCGGTGAAACAACTTTGCATTGATTGATGGCTCGTTACTCGGCGATGTTGTCGCCCTCATAAGGCGAAAATATAAAATAACTTTGTTCTTCTTAACTTTTCATTCATTCTTTTATCATTTATTCAAAGTTGATTTAAAACTTGATCCCGAGAGACAACTACAGTGCAAAGCACAACCCCATGTTTATATTTATATTTGCCTGGTGAGCAATCACAGCTAAGCAGTGTATAGTTTCACTAAAAAATGGACTGACCTATAATAAACCAGGGGTTTTTCTAGAAAAAAACTGCAATTCAGCGGCGCCACCAAGTGGGGGAGATAGTTCTCCCTACCAGGGTGTAGAGTTTTTGATAATTCTAAGTTAAAATGGAGCATTCTATTTCTTCCTTGGGGCCAAAATTACTATCAGATAGGTCACAGTTGAAGACTGTGGCCACATGTGATCCCTGGTCAATCAGAATTTTTTGGTTGCCAGAGGACCTGCTCCCCAGGGTGAGGGGGTGCATGGCCATGACATGAGGGCACTGTGCCCGTTCCCTTGTTTAAACAAAAATCTGATAAACCGTAGTGCATGAAGAACTGTGAATGCTGGATTTATTTGTTCAATAGTTCTTTCACATTCTTCCCTATTAATATTTGTTAGGGCTCCTCGGCCATAACTTTAATTCCTGAGTCTGTCCCTCCAGTTCCCTTCTCCCAGTTTAATTGTATATTCCCCTCTTCAGGACACCTAGTTTTTTGGAGGGGCCTATAAAATTTAATTACATTGGGGGATGGAATGTAAGGGTTGGGATAGGCTTATGGAACTTTCCAAAAATTGTATCAATTTCAAGACGTCATAAACTCAACACTGCCATTTAAAATTTTAGACTTTTACACAGTTTTCCTGCTAATTTTATGGGATGTTAAAGTGCCTGTGCAATGCCCACCCTCACGTTTCCTATTTTAGATCTGTGTCCCACTGAAATGGGCAGTTATTGATTTTTTTGCTGAAAATGATTACTCGTATCCAAGTAAATTTGGGATATTTCTCATGTTGTAGCCACGCCCACCTATCCTGAAACGGTCGACTGTTTCCGGATTTCCGACTCTCACCGAAAGTGCGCCACCAAATGACAAAAATGTGAGAGGAAGTCATACCCCCGAGCCGTAGGAACACTGGTCATTCAGTATAGTTTTAAACGATATACATTTTTCGGTCGGCGTTTTTTCTCCTTTTTTTGTCTAATTTTTTTTTGACTCCCATGTGCGAAGCACAAAATGGGAGTCTTTGCAGTTAGTGTGTCTGTATGTGTGTATGTGTGTATGTGGGTATGTGTGTATGTGTGTGTGTATGTGTGTATGTGTGTCCGACTGTTCCACTGCTATCTCAAGAACCATACATCGGTTTTTGATGAAACTTGGTGCATAGATGCTCTGGGCCAATGCGCAGATTGATTAG